CAACAAGCACGTGTCCCAGACATTTCAGTCGATGCAGCTTTGAAACCTCTTCGATTGACTTATCCTACTTGTATAATACTCTACGCTTCACCTAAATATTACTCACCATCTAACATGGAAGAGTAAACGCAAACAACTATGGTCAAAGACAGCCACTGTCTTCACATCCTTCCCTTTCAACGGCTAATCTATTGCAGCCTTAAAAAAGGAAAAATCAAACTGCTGAGCAATACAGTACACACGTCCCTTGATCGACGGCTGGATATCACAAATACACCAGAGATTACGTTAACTGGTAAGCGCCATTCCATCCTTTTGTATCCTCAGCAAAAGTCCATTAGGGATAATGCAATTACCCGAATTGGTGAAATGATCAACACGCTCAACCAGGACACTTCCTATCCTTAAACTAGGAGTAGGTGGTGATCAGTCCTCCCTCACTTAACATCTGACGGGAGCGAATCGTATGCCAAACAGTAGATTTATGCTCAATGTGTTTAGAAGACTCTGTATTTTGTCATCGTCTTCACCAAGAAGGACAATATATTCTAAGTCGATAAGACTGTTGCCTGGTAACGAGTCAAGTCACTAAAGTCGATTAGGGTCCATCCATTAGTAAAGCGATGATGAAATCAAAACAAAATGTGGGCACAACTGGTTGTCATTATTTCAGATGACAACCCTCTATAGGCTTTAACACGGCTTCATGAATTCGAGCAGAGTGCCTTGATTGGTGCGACATACTTTCTCGGAACTCCCTTCCCGGTCAGACACTGTCACAATAAATCTCGAATGACGGAGTCAAATACCACCTTCAGGTCAATAAATATGGCAAGTGGCGGACGCTGAAGATTCGATCGACAAGCCCTCGTCCAGTCCTAAGCCGTATCTAATTTTCATAGGTTTGTTTCTCCTAAGCATCGCTCAGTCTACGCATGATTATTGAACCTAGAACTCTAGTTAGTACATTAGTCAAGCTCACCCCCTCTCACTATGATTATCACAGGATGACATATCTCTATTTCTACAAACCCTGGCCGATAACTGCTACCTTGCCGTGGTGGTCGGGCTTGAATGCCGCAGTGACCCAACAAGCTAAACTGGCTGAGACTCATGTCCCTGCAGGTCCTACCATGTCAGGAAGGTTGTTTGGATAGCGGTTAGACTAAAAGCAGTTACCATGGGGTACATGGGCTCCAGAATCCAATCGGATCAAATGGCGTACGAACCCATATGGGTCACCGGCAACCATGGGAACGCAGCACCTGACGCTGCTCCGCTGCCTTGCGGGTTAGACTCCAAGTCAAAGGCTCGGGGGGTGGTCCCTTAAGAAAACCACCTGCTTCGGTCTGGGCACCCGGGCAGTATCTCAGCCCTCGCACAATGAATGAAATAAAGCAACAAAATATCAGTGAAACTTATCGCGCGCTCGTAACAAGGCGTTCAAGTA